ATATATTATCTTATAATTAAGAAAATATAAATTCTATAAATAAAATTTGTATAATAAATTATCATTATTACATTTATAAGCATATCTTTTCTCAGTGGATTCTCAACATTTTAAATACAAATCCTTTTTCAGACATGATTTTTGCAGATATTTTCTCAGTCTATGGCTTGTCTTTTTATTCTCTTAATGGTCTGTTTTACATAGCAGGGGTTTTTAACTTCAATAAAGTTCAACTTATCACTTTTTTTTTCTTTCATAGATAGTACTTTTGGTTGTATCTAAAAACTTATCACCATTACTCAATTCTTATAACAATTCTCTGATATCAGTATTTCCATCTCTCAGATGAGAAAACTGAGACCCAAAGGTCATCTAACTTGACTAAGCTCAGATGGGCAGAAGTAATGGATTTGGACTTACTGATATTCCAGTGTTCTCTCCACTGTGCAATGTTACAAGGCTACCTAACTGTATTTGTCTTGCCTTTTGGCTTTGTTTACCTTTATTTCCTTTTTTCATTTAAGTCATTTAAAGTTTTTTTTAACCTAAGGTAAATGTGATTTGCCAGAAGAAATAGCAACTTCCAGAGAAAAAGAGATTGATGAAGCTAGTCCAAAATATATCATAGTGGCATTGTTAGAAACATACAGTTAGGTAGCAATGTCATGGGAGCATGGAACCCATGTGAGCATATTACAAAAGCTAAGGGCCCATTTTCCTAAAGACACACACACACACACACACATTTTGCATACAATTTTAGGGGGTTGGATGCCATAGCTTCTCCATGACATTAGTACATGCAGAATTAATTTAGTGCCTGGTCATGTGGAGGAAATATAAAATAATATAAAGAAATAATATCTATGAAAGTACTGGCATAGTTCCAGTGCATAGTAGGTACTCAGTAAATTCTTATTTAATCGGATCTGATTAATGATTAATAGTACTTTTTGCCTTCAAATAGGGAATCCACACCCACCGTTCAATGTAGTCTAGTACAAGAATTTGCCACCAGATGTCACTATTGTTCTACAGAAACGCTTACATAGACTCCACCCACTCCAACTTCACCCCACCCTCCATAATACCTATATGCCAAGGTTGTGGGTTTGATCCCTGATCAGGGCATAAACAAGAATCAATCAACGAATGTATAAATAAGTGGAACAACAAATAGAAGTCTCACTCTCCCTCTCTTTCTCTTTCTCTTCCTCTCTTTTCCTCTCTCTCAAAAATAATTTTTTTTTTAAACATTAAAAGGGGGGCAAATGAAAGATAAAAATGAGTCACTGGGATATAACAGTTCTGACATCCCTTTGGGCTAATGTTGGATTTGACCCTTCATGGATCAGAAAAACAGATAGGCCCTGCGGGCATGGCTCATTGGTTGAGCGGCAATCTATGAACCAGGAGGTCACAGTTCAATTCCTGCAAAAGCATGTTCCCAAGTTGCGGGTTCAATCGCCCTTGTGGGGCAGCCAATCGGTGATTCTCTCCCATCACTGATGTTTCTATCTCTCTCTCCCTCTCCCTTCCTCTCTGAAATCGATGGAAATATTTTTTTTATTAAAATTTTGTTTTTTAAAAATATTTTTTAAAAGCCGAAACCAGTTTGGCTCAATGGGTAGAGCGTCGACTTGGGGACTGAAGGATCCCGGGTTCGATTCCGGTCAAGGGCATGTACCTTGGTTGCGGGCATATCCCCAGTAGGGGGTGTGCAAGAGGCAGCTGATCGATGATTCTCTCTCATCAATGTTTCTAACTCTGTATCTCTCTCCCTTCCTCTCTGTACAAAATCAATAAATGTTAAATATATATATATATATATTTTTTTTTTCTTTTAAAAAAGCAAGTGAGCAAGATAGGGGAGAGAAACCTAAGGTGGGAAAATAGGCTCATATACCATTCTTTGGAATTCATGTAAAAGGAATATGCATAATTAAATGTCTAAACTCAAAAAAAAGGAAAATAAAAACTATTATGAATTGAGAGAAGGAAAACACATTGATTTATTTAAAAAGTATTTATGAATACCTCACGGGGGGGAGGGGGGAGGGAATCCAAGATGGCTGCCAAGGTAAACACCTAGCCGCAGCTGCACACAACAATTTCAATAAAATACAACTAAAATATAAAATGAACATTACCCAGAACTACAGGAAAGTCGACTGACTGGAAATTCTACAACGAGAAGCAAGGAGAAAACCAGAAGGAAGCACGGAGTGAAAGAATAAAAATGTTTAAAAGCTGTCTCACTCCCCAAGGTCTCTCTCTGGCTAGTGATGGGAACAGAGCCCTTGAAGGGAAACAAGATTAACGAGCCCAGCTCCCCTTTGGAATTCCTTTGTTCCCTCTTCACCCTCCGTGTGTAACCCCTCCCGATATGTAGTTTTTGCCTTTATATACTTGTAAGACTTTCTGCTCGGGGCTCGACTCCTCTGCTCCTGTGTGAGTTACGAGTTGAGCCCCAGCGCGCTGGAATAAAGCCTCTTGCTGTTTGCATCAAGTGACGCCTCCTGCGGTTGACTGGGGTCGCCGTCGATCCGTGGGACAGAGGGAGGGTCTCCCTCTGGGGGTCTTTCAGGAGGAGCTGGAAAAGCCTGAGGTACGGAGACACGCGTGCGCGGAGAGGACGGAGCCGGAGAGAAGGTGGAGGCTGAGTGCTTGGCGGGCGTTCCCTAGCGGGAAGGAGATAAAAGCTCCGGGCTGTGCTGGGCCCCAGTTCCTACTGCTCTGAACCCCAGGTCTAGGCCAGACCCCAGGGACTCAGGCTCATCCACAGGGAGCTGGGCTGTAAGGCGGAACCCCGGGGGAGCGGCGAAAGGAGGTCCCGGAGGCGCTTGGCTGTGCCACGGAATTGCCCTGGCGGGAAGGAGACAGGGGCTCCAGACTGCTCTGAACACCACCTCCAATTCCACTTCCAACTGAACTGAACCCCAATACCGGGCTCATTGAGGGAGAGCCTAGACTGTTTGGTAGCAGGTGAAAATCGAGGGCACCTTTCTCTCAGAGGCGCTTGCAGCGAGCACTGAAGGACCCTGAGACACAGGAGCCGCATAGGGTGGGACTGATGGAAGCCAAGGTTGTAGGCTCCACTCTGAAACCCCGCCCCATCTGGGAAACTGTGAAAATGCCCCGACGAAATAGATCACAAACAAAAAAAATGGAGGACAAAAAGCGACTGGATATAGAGTTCAAATCTACGCTTATAAGGTTTTTCAAGAATTTCCTAGAAAAGATCGATAAGACCTATGAGGATATGAAAAGGGGTCAACTAGAATTAATAAGGAATCAACAAGAAATGATAAGGGATCAACAAGAAATAAAGAATACATTGTCTGAAATAAAAAATATTATACAGAGTCCTAAAAACAGAATGGAAGATTGCAAGAATCAAGTAAAAGATTTGGAACATAAAGAGCCAGAAGACACTCCTCCACAGAAGCTAGAAGGCAAGAGAATCCAGAAAATTGAAGATAATGTAAGAAACCTCTGGGACAACTTCAAGCGAACCAACATCAGAATTATGGGGGTCCCAGAAGATGAGAGAGAGCAAGATATCGAAAACATACTGAAAGAAATAGTGACAGAAAACTTCCCCCATCTGGTGAAAGAATTAGACTTACAAGTCCAGGAAGCGTACAGAACTCCAAACAAAAGGAATCCAAAGAGGACCACACCAAGACAAATCATAATTAAAATTCCAAGAGCAAAAGACAAAGAGAGAATACTAAAAGCAGCAAGAGCAAAGAAGGTAGTTACCTATAAAGGAGCACCTGTACGATTGTCAGCTGACTTCTCAACAGAAACCATGCAGGCCAGACAGGAATGGCAAGAAATATTCAAGGTGATGAATAGTAAGAACCTACAGCCAAAGATAATCTATCCAGCAAAGCTATCACTCAGAATCGAAGGTCAGATAAAGAGCTTCACTAATAAAAAAAAAAAAGCTAAAGGAGTTCATCAACACCAAACCAGAATTATATGAATTGCTGAAAGGGGTTCTTTCAGAAGAGAAAGTAAACAAAGATAAAAATTATTAACAATAAATACGTAACTATCAACAAGTGAATCTAAAAACCAAGGGAATTAAAAAAAATCTGATGAACAATAGTAACTGTTGAATATAATAGAATCAGAGGTATGGAAGGGGAGTGAACTGACGATTCTTGGGGGAAAGGGGAGAGGGGGACGTGGGAAGAGACTGAACATAAACTGTGCACCTATGGATGAGGACAATGGGGAGTGGGGAAAGGGCAGAGGGTGGGGTGGGAACCTGGTGGAGGAGAGCAACTGGGGGGGGGGGGGGAACATTTGTAATAATATGAACAATAAAAATGTATTTTAAAAAACATAAAAAGTATTTATTAAGTGCCTGCATTGGGCTAGGGGTAGGCAATGTTCAAAGATCAGGCCCGGTCCTCAGGATGCTCACATATCATAGAATGGAGGAAGGATCGGGAGCCCTCAGTGGACATTTGAGCTGAGACAAAGGGCGGGCCACACTGAGATCTGAGGAAACAGAGTTCCAGGCGGAAAGGGGGCCGTCCAAAGGCTGGAGGGTGGGCAAAAGGAGAGAAAGTGGTATGAGGTCCAAGAGGTTGGGAGGGCCAGATCCCAGAGGGGCCAAGAAGGGAATTTACAGTCTAAATTTTTGGGCAGTGTAGAGAAACGGGGGGGGGGGGGGGGGGGGGGGGGGGAAGAAGAATGCCTAAGCATGTGTGTTTGGAAGCCAGGACGGCCATTCAGAGGTCAAGCACACGCTCCTGGGCCAGGGACCAGCTCCGTTATAATCTGAGCCTCTGAACCCTGCCTGGAGCCTCCAATCCGCTTAAAGACGCGACGGGGCCGGAACGCGCGCGCGGCCGCCTCGGCGAAGCTTGGCCCTCGGGGCGCGCCGTAGACGGAGCGACAGAGGCGTCCCGTTGCCTGGGAGCCGGGAGGCGCCGGGAGGCCTCCACCTCCGTGGAGAGGGCCCGCCGCGGGCCTGGGTCAGCATGTCGGTGCTGGACGCGCTCTGGGAGGACCGGGACGTCCGCTTCGACGTGTCCTCGCAGTGAGTCCCGGATATTCCACAGCCGCCACCAGCCCCTAGGGGGCGCCGCGGCGCGCTCCGGACCGGCGGCCGGAGCCCGCACCCCACAGCGGCGGCCCGGGCGAGGGTGCCAGTGGGGCTGAGCCTGTGTGGGCACCGCGGGGAACCCTAGATTGGCCGGACACTGCGGCGCCGCCGAGGCCGGCGTCACAGCCAAACGCGTCTGAACTGCACGGGTTCGGGCCCGCGCGATGCCCGGCCCGGGGCCCCGCGGGGGCTGAGCCCAAACCCCGCGGGGACCACGCAGGACCCGGGCGCCCGGGACGCCCACGCGAGCGTAGGGGTGGCAGTCTGGTGTGGTGTGGACGCAGGAAACGGGGCTTCTAAAACTAGGCCTAGAATAACGACACACATTGTGAACCCTTAGCCAAACGCCTGCCGGGCAGTGCTGGGGTCTTCTGCCAGTAAAATGGAGGAGGTGGGAGTAAGCGTCCGCCAGAACTCCTAACCACGCAGACTAGTTAGTGGTAAGCCTCCGTCTGATTAGTCATCCAAATCACCAATAGAAGAAGGAGCCCCTTTTGGAGCCCCTCGGACAGAAGCTTTTTAAAAGATCTCATGCCTTAAAGAGAGAAGAGTTAGAAATCTGTTGGCCAAAAGTCCAGGGGGGAAAAAAATGTCCATTTGCATATTAAATGTTGGAAAAACAGTAAAGCCAAGGTTCTTGGGATAACGATGTGGGACTTATTAGCCACATATGATTCTTTATCATGAACAGAACCTAATTACTAATAGGTGGAAAAGTGAAATGTTAACTTTCAAGACTTATTCGTGACTAAATATATAATACTACTATGATCTTATAACTTTTAAAGAGCACTAACCGGTTTGGCTCACTGGATAGAACATCAGCCTGTAGACTGAAGGGACCCAGGTTTGATTCTTGGTCAAGGGCACATGCCCAGGTTGCTGACTCATCCCCACTAGGAGGCGGGCAGGAGGCAGCTGATTGATGATTCTCATCATTGATGTTTCTATCTCTCTTTCCCCCTCCCTTCCTCTCTGAAATCAATAAAAAAAATTTTTTTTTAAAGAACCTTGAAGGAGTTTAAAAGGAAGAGAATGTATGAAATTATAAACTATAGTTACATATTACACACTATGATTTTTTTTCTGTTATTCTTGTGGGATTCTTTTTTTTTCCTTTTTTTTTTACATTTTTATTGACTTTTACAGAGCGGAAGGGAGAGGGAGAAAGAGTCAGAAATTTCGATGAGAGAGAAACATCAGTCAGCTGCCTTCTGCACGCCCACTACTGGGGATGTGCCTGCAACCAAGGTACATGCCCTTGACTGGAATCAAACCTGGGACCCTTCAGTCCCCAGGCTGACACTTTTTTTTTTTTTTGAAGTAGCAACGAAAATAACTTTATGGTTGGGGGTCCCCACAACATGAGGAACTGTATTGTATTAAAGGGTCACGGCATTAGAAAGGTTGAGAACCACTGCTCTAGAGGGACCACCAGGTTTGACCTCCACCTAGAAACCTGTCTCTCCCACTGTGCTGATTTCCACAGGAGGGGCCAGCATTCGAGCCATTTGGGTATTTCCCTGAGCAGAGAAAAGGGAATCAATCCACTCCTGGCAATCCATTTCTCCAGGAATTCCCAGGACAAGATACTCCCGGGACAGCGCCCCCCCCCCCCCCCCATCCTCCCCCCTTGGAGGAGCTGCTTAATCTGCAATCAGCTCCTGCCACATCCAGAGCCAACTGACAGCATAAGGTTCAAACTCATTCAGCAGCAGGGCATGTTATCTCTCCCCATCCTTCCTCAGGTCCCTAATAGGAATTACTTCCTGGGGAAAGAGAGCCCATTCGCAGACCTGGCCTTTCAAATGCCAGTGTGTTTGCTTATCAGATTGTTTGACTGCAAGGAGACGTGCTGGCTCTATGGCACGAGTCTTCCTGGAGGAAAGTGAATGACATGACTACTGGAAACTTAAAAAGTTCAAACAAACAGGCAAAAAGCCACGGCACTCATCAGTGAATCCAGAAACTTCCACAGAGCTTTGTGGATGCTTCTATTTAAACCGGACCCAGCCCTGTGAAGTGTGTTTGCTGATAATTGTGAAGGACAGCTGGGGGGTGGGTGGGTGGGTGGTGGTGGTGATGGTGGTGTGTGTTTGCCTGCCTTATTAACATGAAGTCTTCTTTTGGTTACCGGACGCAGATTTTATTTTGGGAAACGTCCTCTTGCCCATTGGATGCAGCTTTGGTGAGGCTGTCCATCAGGGTGCCCAGGCTGACACTTTATCCACTGAGCCAAACCGGTTAGGGCCTTGAGGGATTCTTGATCCAAGAAAACATCCATTTCATAAATAGTTTTAGTTATTAAACAGTTAACAGATGCTTGCTATGTTCTGGTTATTGTACTAATAGAGATACAAAATAATAGAAAATTATTTATCTCCCTTCCCTACACCCATGCTAGTGCAAGAGATATACATTGACAACTGTTTTTAAAATGTGATAAACATTATTCAAAAAACATGAACAAAAAGTTGGGGAACCGTAGAAACAGAACAGTTGATTCTGCCTCGGGAAGGCCTCAAAAAAATAAATAATATTTGAATTGAGCTCTGAAAAATGGTCAGAGCCTAGTCAAGGAAACGAGGAGGAAAGTATTCCAGAAAGGGGGGGGAAAAGGCAGAGTCTTGGAAATATAAACTTCATTATGAGAAGGCAATGTCTGGTAGGTAGAGGGTGGAGAGAGATACAAATAGAAAAATAGATTAGTCAGATTTTGAAATGTTCAACTGGGGATTTTGGACTTCATTTTTCAGGCAGCTGAATGCCATGGAAGACTGGAGCAGGGAAGTGATATGACCATATCTGTATTTTCAATAAGAAATTGAATTGGTTCTATGGAGAATGTGTTAGAAGACTCTTCTACATATTCTGGTTTTTTGTTGTATTCTTTGATAGACTGGATGCATTGTATCAGCAAACTATTCTTCATTACTTTTGTCTCCTGTTTCTAATTGTTTACGAAGTCTTGATGATGCTTTGCTTTGCTCCCATACTTTCCTCTATTCAGAAACCTCTGGTGGTTCTCCACTGTCTACAGATTAAGGCCCATTTCTATCTGACTAGCCTTTATGGTTCTCAGGTTCTCCGTAATCTAGTCCTTACTTCCTAACCTAACTATATTTCTCACTGCCTCTCAGTATAGACCTTCTTCTCCAGCCAGGCCAGTTTCTTCACATTCCTTTATCGTTTCTTATTCCTGTGCCTCTCTCCCTCTCTCCCAACTCTCTCCCCCCTTTCCTTCCCCTCCAAGTCCTACCTCTCCTTCTAGTTCTGGCTGCTCTATATGTGCTGGTCATTCCAGTCACACTTATCACCAGGTTCTTGGAGTTTTTGAACACCTTATTTTCAATGCACGAGCATTTGGTACTTTATACTCTTGGCTGTTTTATAGGTATATGTCATTTTTCTCCCTACCTAGATTTAAGCAGGTATATTATAGCTTTAAAATTGAAATACTTATATTTATTTTAGACAAATGAAAACAAGACCTGGAGAAGTCCTTATTGATTGTTTAGATTCAATTGAAGACACCAAAGGAAATAATGGGGATAGAGGTAAGTATATTATCTAATACATTTTATATTTCTGGTTTATATTAGGTGGAGAATAAGATATGAAGAGCACTATATGTAATTCTGAGAGTGGTAGCATTAAATCCACTAAGACTTTCCTCAGACTGAAATAGAAGAAAGGGTAGGTATTAAACCTGTAGCCAGGGAATACAGGTTCTTCCCTCAGGTCTCTGGTCCTGCGGTAAGCCCTGATTCTGACATCAGCTTTATCCAATGTAGCTGTTAAAAGTCCAGGAGCTTTGTTTACAAGGGTCATATGATAGTTCTGACTTTTGGATCTGCCTCTCCCAAGAAAAGAATAGTGGATAGTGGAACATAAATAGGCCATAGCTATGCTTCATGAACTTTGCTTCCTTTTAAGAATCCAAGAGTACTGAAACCAGTTTGGCTCAGTGGATAGAGCGTCGACCTTCAGATTGAAAGGGTTCGATTCCGGTTAAGGGCATATACCTTGGTTTCGGACACATCCCCAGTGGGGTTGTGCAGGAGGTAGCTGATCAATGTCTCTCCCTCATCGATGTTTCTAACTATCTCTCTACCTTCCTCTCTGTAAAAAAATCAATAAAATATATTTTAAAAAGAAAAGAGAAATCCAAGAGTAATGCACAATCCCCTATGACTGACACCTAGAGATGGACATGTGGAGAGCAAATTCAGTTCTGTATTGTGAAGTCTAGTTATAAGTTATAATCAGAAAATACTGTGTGAGACGTCTGTGCATGTCACTGAGGAGCAACAGGCCTGGGCTCTCGAGTCCCTCTCAAAACAAATTTTCCCAAGCAGCTGTGTGGAGCCAGTGACCAGTGGTCAGAGGTGTTAGATGCATATTACTGTTATTCAAGATAAAACATAGGAAATAAGGAGTGGGCAGCTTAATGTATCTAAAAAGATGTTTGTGAGGAGAGGAGGTTTATTAGGGTGGGATATAACCCTCTTATTGAAGAGAAAAATTGAGGAAAAAGAGCAGATCTCATTCAAGTAAGAAGGATCAGTAAATCCTAGAGCTAGAACAGTAACCATTACTGCTATAACATACTCATTGCAGCATTTGAGTGGCTGATTCCTCTCTGAACCTTTCTTCTCTGTGAGGAGAACCTAGCATCATCACCAGCTAAGGTGGATACTGTCAAAAGCTAGAGCCCATCATTAAAGAAATGCTTAGATCACATTTCTGAAATGCTTCCTAGTATACGCCAAGACCAGGGGAGCATGAGGTATCAACACCTGATAGCAAATAAGAAGTCTTAGTGTGTGCCTTTGGGGATGGGATAATAATCTCTAGATGGTCATATCTTGAAAAAAACCTGAATTAACTTAAGGAAGCCAAGAGAAAGCTTTGGTCTCATACAGATTGGCAGGAGTTCTTATGTGACAATCCACCCACTGGTCCAGGCAAAGACCAAGTGTACTCACTGAGTGCAGTACCCTACACTAGCACTGTGAAGGAGGGAAGAAAAACATTTCCTGGCCAGAAATCTTGCTGTTAATAAAAATAACACACCTCAGAAACAGTTGCTCAGAAAATGGAATTTTACAGGAATGTACAGAGCTTCTGGCTAATAGGAAGTAAGAAAAATGGACCGTGGCCAGGTGACTCCAGTTGTTGGAGCAGCATCCTGTACAACAAGAGGATGAGGGTTTGATACCAGGTCAGGACACATATCTAGGTTTCGGGTTTTATCCCTGGTTGGAGCAAGTACAGGAGGCAACCAATTAATGTTTATCACATCGATGTTTCTCTCTCTCCTCCTCCTCCCTCTTCTGTAAAATCAATTAAAAAAAAAAACATTTTTGTATGAGGATTTTTAAAAATATAAATTATATTGGTTTTTTACAGAGAGGAAGGGAGAGGGATAGAGAGCTTAGAAACATCAATGAGAGAGAAACATTGACCAGCTGCCTCCTGCACACCCCCTACTGGGGATGTGCCTGCAACCAATGTACATGCCCTTGATCAGAATCGAATCTGGGACCCCTCAGTCCGCAGACTGATGCTCTATCCACTGAGCTAAACTGTTTTTGGTCTGTGTGAGGATTTTTAAAGGGGGAGGGAGAAAGAATCCTGTCTTCTAGCTGTCTCTTCCCCCTCCTTTCCAGAAGTGTGAAAATAACACATCTAAGTCACTCTCAAGTTCAGAAGCCCCATGTTAAAACTATAAATATCCCAAAAGATTAGCACATTTAATCCATTTCAACTGTAAATACTCTGATATGTAATTACCAGATTAGCTTTTCACACTGATGCTAAATGAGAATGAAACAGCCATATTTCAGTGTTTGGAAGATTAAGAAAAACGGAGAATTATATTTTGCTGTTTGGAAAGACAGGAAAAGTCTATGCTTGGAATACTGGGTTTGGATTTGTACGATGGGGTCCTTTAGCAGGACAAAGGCAACATAAGAATGCTGGAGACTTGTCGGAGATGTACCAAAACAGAAAAACAGATGATCAGAGTTGGTCAGTGATTTTATAAGGCAAACTCTTTGACCACAAACAATCATTCTTGCATGCGCTACTGTCGTCCATTTGTCCCTCCAGACTCAGCACCTTCTCCACCCTTTCTCCTTTCTCCTGAGAAACTGTACAGACTACGTCAAAGGTCTTGTACACTCTAGCTTCTGGTTGGAAAAACCAAGGCAGAAGATCAAAGGAGGCAGGAGATGCAGTCTGGGTGCTTATTCCCCACATTCTTTCCTCTCAACACATTTGGCTCTTTAAGACCTTGTTCCTTCATTTGGTTAAATGCTCCCTCTTGGCCTGGGGTGGTATAGATTTGCTATATTCACTTATGGTTCCTGACAACCCACCTTTGTAATAAATCCTTTTGTATAGAAATCTCAATTATTCTAATTTGAGTGTGCCATCTGTTTTCTGTTTGACTCCGACTGATAGATGCAATGTCCACTCTTCTATGATCTTGTGTGAACCTTCCACTCTAACCAGGCTGGGTTACTTATCATTTGTCAAGCGTACCATGTAGTGTTCTGCAGCTTCTCTTGAGGACACCTTCCTTTATTTTTAGAATCTCCTATCCCATCTCACCCCAACATTCATACATGTTTAGTCTCATTTTAGGTATTCTAGGGGTTTTCAGGGAGGAAGGAGTATGACGGGGCTATAGATTACTCATAGAAGACTTCTATGATTATAATTTGTTGGAAAAAAGTTGTTAAACAAAGTTAAGAGAGTTTTATTTTAGGGCTTCTCAATGCTATCATAATATGCTAATCCTATATAATAAAGAGGTAATATTCAAATTGACCATCACATCCTCACAAGATAGCCGCCTACAACCAGGCCAGCAGGGGGGTTAGTGAGGGACGACCAAACGACTGAACAAGCAGGCAGTGTGGGGCAACCAGGCTGGCAGGGGGGCCGTGATGGGCGACCAGGCCGGCAGCAGGGTGCAGTTGGGGGCAACCAGGCTGGCAAGGGGGTCAGTTGAGGGCATTTAGGCTGGAGGGGTGGGGGGGAGGACAGAGAGGGGTGCAATTGGGGTGACCAGGCTGGTGGGGGGCGGGGCAGCTGGGAATGATTAAGCTGGCAGGGGGCAGTGAGGGGCAACTATGCCGGGGGCGGGGGGCAGTTAAGAGCGACCAGGCCAGCAAAGAGGGGGAAGTTAGGGTGACCTGGCCGGCAGCAGGGGCAGTTAGGGGCAATCAGGTTGGGGGCGGGGAACGGGCACTGGGAAGACCAGGCAGGCAGGCAGGTGAGCGATTAGGAGCCAGCAGTCTAGGATTGTGAGAGGGATGTCCGACTGCCATTTTAGGCTCAATCCCTGGGCCTAAACCGGCTGTCAGACATCCCCTGAGGGGTCCCAGATTGGAGAGGTGCAGGCTGGGCTGAGGGGACACCCCCTCGTGCACTAATTTCATGTACTGGGCCTCTAGTTGTATTATAAATCTCTAAGATACATAGTTTACCATGTTCAGATTTACTTTACTTTTTTTTCCCCCCTTGGAGCTGCTGATACTGGGCCATTAGTTTCATGTCCATCTTATTTTGTATTGCAAAAATAAGCTCTTACTTAAGGTAACCTATTTTTGTTTGCTTTTAGGTAGACTCTTAGTAACAAATTTAAGAATTCTCTGGCACTCTTTGGCATTATCAAGAGTCAATCTTTGTAAGTATCTTCATTAGATAACAACACTAGACAACAACAAAAAATACTTTGTCAAGTGAACTTGCACAGTAGCTTTTACTTCCGAAAAAACTATACTATAAAATATGTGGAAAACTTTATTTAGTTATTTATCCTCAACCCAAGGATATATTTGTGTGTTTTTAAAATATATTTTATTGATTTTACTGAGAGGAAGGGAGAGGGATAGAGAGTTAGAAACACCAGTGAAAGTGAAACATTGATAGTTGCCTCCTACACACACACCCCTCCACGGGAGATGAGCTCTCAACCAAGGTACATGCCCTGGGCCAGAATCGAATCCAGGACCCTTTAATCTAAGGGCCAACACTCTATCCACTGAGCCAAACTGATTAAGGCCCAAGGATGTTTTTATTGACTTTTAGAGAGAGAAACTGGGAGGAATTGGAGAGGGAGAGAGAGAGAGAGAGAGAGAGAGAGAGAGAGAGAGAGAGAGAGAGAGAGAGAGAGAGAGAGAGAGAGAGAGAAAGAGAGAGAGCAGCATTAGTGTAAGAAAGAAACATTGATTGGTTGCCTCCCATACTCACCCCGATCAGGGATCGAACCCACAACCTATGTATGTGCCCTGACCAGGAATTGAACCCACAAGACAACAATCCAATCCACACTCCAATCAACTGAGCCACTTGGCCAGGGCAAAAACTTTAAACTGATAAAAGTTTCAGAAATCCTTGACTAGCACCTAAGTGCAGCATAACTTAAAAGAAATGTTTTTCAGTCTGTCCAGTTTATCTCCTGGACATATAGAAGATTAGTACTTTTACATTGAATGATTTTGTTTGTCTTTTGTTTATCTTTGACAACTTGCTATGACCTGTTTCAAGCAATCCCCAAAAAGGAAAATCTAAATTGTAATAGAAAGATACAAACTTTTACTGTGTTAAATTTTGTTTAACTTACTTTAAAAAACTATTTTGACCCTAGCTGGTTTGGCTCAGTGGATGGAGTATTGGCCTGTGGACTGAAGGGTCCCAGGTCTGATTTGGATCAAGGGCACATGTCCAGGTTACAGGCTTGATGCCCAGAAGGGGGCATGCAGGAAGCAGGTGATCAATTATTCTCTCTCATCATTGATCTTTCTCTTTCTCCCTCTCCTTGTCTCTATCTGAAATTAAACACACACACACACACACACACACACACTTATTTTATATTATCCAGATAGACATTTTTTCTTGATGTAGTGATGCTAAAATTTTCAGTAAACAATACTGTACATTTTAGAGAAGTAAATTTTCTTTGTCCAATGTTATGAATGTGTTTGTTCAAAGGGACAGAATTGACTTTCCATTTCTTTTCATTATTTAACTTAAATTTGTAGTTGTTTCATGAAAATGTTTAAAAGCTATATTTTTACATTTAATTTTTTAAAACAAAAGTTCTGTATATACATTTTTCCCTCAGTTTATTGTATTACATTCTTTAAATTTTTTGCTTTTGAATTTTAGCTATTGGTTACAACTGCATACTGACTATTACAACAAGGACTGCTAACTCTGTAAGTCTGAAAAACCTTATTGAAATTTATATATCGAATATATATAGAAGAAACATGAGATATTTGAAGTTGGTTTTGTTTTCACTGTGAGAAATTGCTTTTAAAATCTGAACTTTTAAATACATTTGTCCTTACAGAAATTACGAGGCCAAACTGAAGCCCTTTATATACTAACAAAATGTAACAGTACTCGTTTTGAGTTTATATTTACAAATTTGATTCCTGGAAGTCCTAGACTTTTTACTTCTGTGATTGCAGTACACAGGTATGATAATACTTTGTGGATTACTGAATATTTTTATAATAATTGTATGGTATAAAGATTTAGAGACTAAAGTTTAGAAGTGTGGTGCTATCTTCCTCCAAGCTCTATTGCAAATATCCTGAAGATATTATATATAGAAGAACACATTGTATTATCATTTAGTAAACACTTTGAAGGTATTTATAAAGCACATAGGACTATTGAAGATTCATTTAAAAAATTTCTATTGAAATAGTAACAAGGGAATAGAAAATTCATTCATTGTAAATAACAAAGTTATTTAATTAATGATTTAAAAAGATTATTTTTCTAACAGTAGAAAATATGTCTGGGTGTTTTCCCAAGGAGTTTTATTGTTTTGTTTTGTGGTTATTTTGGGTTTTTTATTTGTTTGCTGAATTCTTTTTTCACCACCTCAGTTCCTTTTTTTTTTTAATAAATCACTTATTCTTAAACATTTATTTCATATTCTTTATTGATTTCAAAAAGGGAAGGGAAGGGAGAGGTAGAAACATCAATGATGAGAGAACCATTGATCAAGCCCACAGCTTGGACATGTGCCCCTGACCAGAATCAAACCCAAGGACCCTTCTGTCCGCAGTCTGACGCTCTATCCACTGAGCCAAACTGGCCTGGACAAGCTCTTTTATTATTATATTTTAATCAGTCTTAAGTGAGCTCTTTTTTTTTTAATCAGTCCTAAGTGCTATGATTTTTTTAAAAAGCTTGACTAAGATGTCAGCAAAATAAATATATATATCGATATATATACAAATTTATACACACTTGCACACACAGATATAATATATATATACACACCATTGTTTTAATTTGCATGTATTCTTTTATTACTAGTGATGCTGAAATTTTTTTTGTTATTTATAGCTTCTTATTGTAAATTTCTTAATTATGTCTCTATCAGCCATATACTGTATATTGCAAATGTATTTCTTATACATTTTCCTAGTTTCCTAGTTTGTTAGTTTTTAATTTTGTTGATTGTTTAAATCTATTACAGTGGTTTAGTGTTTTATTTTGTGTGTGTGTTTTATATATATATATAATTCACATAACATAAAATGTAGTATTTTAAAGTTTACACTTTGGTAGTTTTGGTATATTCACAAGATATCATTACTGCCCAATTATAGAATATTTCCATCACCCCAAAAGAAACTGCCATAGCAACCACTGATTTACTTAATGTCTCTATGGATTTGCCTATTCTTGATATATATATAAATGGAATCATATAATATGGTTTTTTTTATTTTAATTATTGATTTTGAGTGAGAGAGAGAGTTTTGTTGTTCCGCTTATTTATGCATTCATTGGTTGATTCTTGTATGTGCCCTGTCTGAGGATCAAACTTGCAAGGAAGCTACCCTGCCAGGGCCAACTTCTTCTTCTTCTTCTTTTTTTTTTTTTTAATAAGTTAATTGACCCATCTTTTTTCTTTTTCTTTTTTTTTAGAGGGAGAGAAAGGGAGAAGGAGAAAGAGAAACATCAATGTGAGAGTGAAACATTGATTAGCTTCCTCCTACACAACCCCTACTGGGGATGAGCCTATGCCTGACCTAAACATTGATTAGCTCCCTTCTACACACCCACTACTTGAGGATTGAGCCCAAAACCCTGGCCTATGCCTCACCTGGAATTGAACCAGCAATCTTTCACTGCCTGGGATGATGCCCAACCAACTGAGCCGCACCAGCCAGGGCTGTGTGTGACTTCTTTCACTTTATATATTGTTTTCAAGGTCTATCATGTTGTAGCATATATCAGTATTTTACTCATTTTTATAGCTGAATGATACTCCATTGTATGGACACATTTTGTTTATTCATCAGTTAATAGACATTTTTGTCTATTATGAATAATGCTGCTGTGAATATTTGTGTGTAAGTTTGCATGAAAACATATTTTAGTTTTCTTCGGTGTATAGCTAAACCTTAGCTTTTTATTTCACTTTACCTAGAGAAGTAATGTAAAATCAAGTTTGAAAGGAACATGTAAGCTGCTTTTCTTTTCTTTTTAAATATTTTATTGATATTTTTACAGAGAGGAAGGGAGAGAGAGAGCTAGAAACATCGACCATCTGCCTCCTGCACACCCCCTACCAGGGATGTGCCCGCAACCAATGTACATGCCCTTGACCAGAATTGAACCTGGGACCTTTCAGTCCGCAGACTGACGCTCTATTCACTGAGCCAAACCGATTTCGGCTGCTTTTCTTTAATAGTATAAAAATGTTATGTGTTTTCCAAAAAATAATTTACAACATAAATAGTTTCCATTTTATCCCCTGATTAAATATTGATAATTACTACACTGAAGGAAATTAAGATTTATAAGCAAATGTTTGTATCCTACTTTCACAATTTATATGTTAGAAGGTTAATTGGAGTAAAAGTGAAAAAATTATCACTGAGTACTATAATTTATATGAATAACTTCTAAAGTTATTTAGGCTAAGAAAACCTTTTAGTTTCATTATATGGGTAAATTAGTCTATATTTTTGTGGAGTAAAATTAGAATTAATTAATCAAAAGTTAAGAATTTTCTTACAGTAGCCAAGATATGAAGCAACCCAAGTGTTCATCAGTAGACCAGTGAATAAAATGTTGTGGTATATATATACAATGGAATATTACTCAGCCATAAAAAAAAGTGAAGTCTGCCCTGGTCAGATAGCTCAGTTAGTTAGAGTGTCATCCCAATATGCCAACGTTACAGGTCCAATCCCCAGTCAGGGCACATATAAGTATCAACCAATGAATACATAAATAAGTAGAATAAACAAATCTCTCTCTCTCCTTCCCTCTCTCTCTCTCCCTTTCCCTTTTCCTCTTCCTCTCCCTTTCCCTCTCTCTCTCCCTCTCTTCCTCTCTTTCCCATCCTCTCTAAAATCAATAAATGGAATTTTTTACCCAAGAGTGAAATCATAACCATTTGTGACAACATGGATGGACCTAGAGGATATGCTAAGTGAAATCAGTCAAATACAAATACCGTATGTTTTCACTATATGTGGAAGCTAAAGAATAAATAAATGGACAAAGAAAATAGAAACAGACTCATAGCTACAGAGAACAAATTAATGATTGCAGGGGAGTGGGAGGGGAGAGTTGGGGGACTGGTGAAAAAGGCAATGGAATTAGGAAGTACAAATTGATAGTTATAAAATAGTCACGGGGATGTAAAGTACAGCATGGGAAATATAGTCAATATTCCTGTATAATAAAGAGGTAATATGCAAATTGACCCTCACACGATCACAAGATGGCTGTGCCCACAGCAGAGGTGGGGTTCCTATAACACAAGATGGCTGTGCCCACAGCAGAGGTGGGGTTCCTATAACACAAGATGGCTGTGCCCACAGCAGAGGCAGCATTCCCATAACAAGCTGTAATGAGTGATCAGCAGGGACCTGAGGCTGCATGGCACTAGGCCTGGGAGGGGGATCTGAGGCCACACCCCCCACCTGGCAGGGCTTGATAGGGGACCTCAAGGCATGCTTCCCCCCACACACACCGGTGCTGGGCATGGGGACCTCAGGCCACACACCCCGCCCTGGCACCTGACCAGGAGACCTCCTGCTTTGCCCCCTGCCCAGCAGGGCTTGATGAGGAACCTCAGGCCATTTCCCCCACCATGGCATTGTGCCAGGGGACCTGTGGGTACACCCCCAACTCGGTGGGGCTTGACAGAGGTGAAACTGGCCAGAACTGGATCTCACCTAATGGGGGTGAGGCCAGCCTGGTCTGGATCTCATGCAATTTCAAGGCGTGTGCAGGTGGGCAGGGACTTGACTCTGGGTCTCATGGTGCACCCCAGACTCTGACAAGAGGAAGATTTTCATATACATTTTACTAATTTTCTTTCATCTCTGATACTTCTATTATAGAGAAAGGGCAAATAGCAATATTAAAATATCTCCTCTAATCTTTTAATGTGTACAAATTTCATGCACCAGGCCACTAGTGTTGTAATAACTATGTATGGTGCCAAGTAGGTACTTGACATGCCAGGGAATTACTTTGTAATGTATGTGATTATCTAACCACTAAGCTGTACACTTGAGACTGATACAAAGTAATATTAAATGTAAATTGTAATTGAAAAATAAAATTTTAAAAGGTTAAGAATTTTCTTCTGTATTTATTATTTATTAATAGAGAAACATGGAAAGAAAACAAAAGTATAGATATTTTATACACACACTGTCCTAGACTTTGTCCTAGGGTTACTTTTGGAATTGGTACAGATTCATTCTAATTTTCTGTGTAGAGGTAGATGTGAGCATAATTTGTTCAAGTTGTAGTGAGAAAAAGAATAATAGTGCCTTTGACTAAAACAAATGAAGGGAAGTATTTTGATAGAAATTTTTTTTTCATGTCTATTATATAGAAGCATTGTTTCTTGGTTTGAGAGAAAATCTGTGCCCTCTCATTGTGCTGTGTGATATGTAGTGCCTTAAAAATTAGACCTCTAAAAAATAGTTTACTGAGATAAAATATGTAAGTGCTACACTAAAATGACAGTCTACAAAAGACTAATCACCAAAACTTACTGAAAAGAATTTTTTTTAATATATTTTATTGATTTTTTATTTACAGAGAGGAAGGTAGAGGGATAGAGAGTTAGAAACATCGATGAGAGAGAGACATCGATCAGCCACCTCCTGCACACCCCCTACTGGGGATGTGCCCGCAACCAAGGTACATGCCCTTGACTGGAATCGAACCCGGGACCCTTCAGTCCTCAGGCTGATGCTCTATCCACTGAGCCAAACCAGTTTCAGCTGAAAAGAAAAATTTTTTTTTTAATTTACTGTGATAATTACTTGAGTGATGTACTAACAATGGTATATTTTAACATAAACAAAGAAAATTGCATTTTCAGTTTGGTTTAGCCTTTTGTTTGTTCTCTTTTATAGAGCATATGAAACTTCTAAAATGTATCGTGATTTTAAATTGAGAAGTGCACTAATTCAAAATAAGGAACTAAGGTTATTACCACAAGAACATGTATATGATAAAATCAATGGAGTATGGAATTTATCCAGTGATCAGGTATTGTACAAAAAACTAATGAATCTTTTGGATCTGTGCCTTGGTAATCATTTTTCCATTTATCATTAGGTTTATATATTCATTTAATTGTTAAAATTAGCATCATACCTCTAGATAAATTAACATTATAACTCTTCATATAAAATATAATTTTCATATTTTTATGGTTTTGTCCTGTTTAACATTTGTCCTACATTGCATTTAGAGCTGGGATGGACCTCAGAGATCATCTCTAGTTTAGCCTCTATTCACTTATAGATGAAAAACTCAGGCCCTTAACAGTCAAGTGACCTCACATACTAGTTTATTTATTTATTTATTTATATTTTATTGATTTTTTACAGGAAGGAAGAGAGAGGGATAGAGAGCTAGAAACGTCGACGGGAGAGAAACATCGACCAGCTGCCTCTTGCACACCCCCAACCAGGGATGTGCCCACAACCAATGTACATGCCCTTGACCAGAATTGAAGCTGGGACCTTTCAGTCTGCAGACCGATGCTCTACCACTGAGCCAAACCGGTTTCGGCATCACATACTAGTTTAGCCCAGAGCCATGATCTACCCCTAAGCTACTACACTGCACTCCACATCTTGATAACCTATACTAATGGAGGAGAACTAGGGGTTGGAACATCACAAAAGTTTTTAAATCTGGTCTTTATGGAATTAAATATATAATTCATTTGGTGACTCCTGTATTGTAGCTTTTCATTTACTCTTGAAATTTATTACTAGTTGAAACATGTAAGCAACTAATAGTTGGAATAAGTAACATTAATTTCTAGAGAAAAATTTGTCTCTTACTAAGGATAGTTTCCAGTTTATATGTGTTACAACCTAGATTATACTGACAACATGTGGTAAAGCTATAATATTTTAATGAAGAGCATCTTGCTAAAATAAACATTGAATCATAAACTTAAATTATAAATAAACTTTGCTTATTTGAAAAATTCTAGTTTTAAACTATGATAAAGGTTCTATAGGATATATACATTCCCTATTTGACTAACTCCTTTTCATCAGAAGTCAGAAAAGTTTTTTCTATAAAGGGCCAGATGGTAAATATTTTAGACTAGAGGCCCAGTGCACGGATTCATGCATGTGTGGGGTTCCTCAGCGTGGCCTGCACCCTCATAATGTGGGGCATGTAGCAGTGCCAAGATGGCAGGTGGCTGGGAGGAGTCTCAGCCAGGGCCTGGCATAGCTCTTCTGCCCCTCAACCTGGCCCCACTGCCACAGCTGTGCTCACCATGAGATTGTAGGCTTTATATGGGTAGGAGTGAAGTTACTCTACCCATAGTCAGATCCTTATTACCTAGCAGAACAGCTGGCATTTTTAATTAAGATGTTCCAGATATATCATTTTATTGAAAATAGGGATGTTATTGTCAACCTAATTAAAGTTTATTGAAAAATAATAAATAAAATATGCCCTTCTATTTTTAAAAGTCTTTATGGTATAAGTTCTCTTTTTTCTAAAATAAGAGAAAACAATGTTATAAAGAGTTATTCCTTCTAAAGTTAGATTTAGTATTGTTTAATGGGACTTGGGCTGGGAATAATGGTGACTAAAATTTTTTGTATGATAATTTTTGCAAGGTAAGAGTAGAGGGGGAATATATGTACTTTTATATATGTTCTTATTAATTTCATTATAATTGGGAAATAGGTGACCTTTTTTGCTGTTTCAAACTTGGTCATTCCAGGAGAAGGCTTTTTAAGTTTTGAGTTTGTTAGTTAATGTTTTATGTGCAACCTCAAAGTATAAAATAAAGAAAATTCTTCTGGTGTATGTGGTGGGGAGGAAGTGGAAAATTATAGATAAATGATAGAGGGAGATAATTTTGGTGCCATGTTATTAGGTCTTACAGATTTTTTAGGGCACTTGGCTATCATATTGGGATAATTTTGAAAGATGTTGAGGGGCCTGTAACTATAGTTTGATTTGTAGTTAGTGTGGCAATGCTTACTGTGTGCCAGACACTGTGCTATAAGCTTTATTTACATGGGTTATTTTTTTTATTTTTATTTTTTATATATATATATATATATTTTTATTTTATACAGAGAGGAAGGGAGAGAGATAGAGTTAGAAACATCGATGAGAGAGTCATCGATCAGCTGCCTCTTGCACACCCCCTACTGGGGACATGCCCGCAACCAAGGTACATGCCCTCGACCGGAATCGAACCCGGGACCCTTCAGTCCCCAAGCCGACGCTCTATCCATTGAGCCAAACCGGTCCCGGCTACATGGGTTATTTAATCAGGTATTCATTTTACATTTCATACAGTGCACCAGGAAGATATTTGCCCCCAGGTCACACAACTGGTAAGTGCTGGGGTATAATGATTATCTAACTCCAGAGCCATGCTCTCGGTAATCTAATTGTACTCCATAATACCCGCACTCAGTTCTGGTATTTGCTGTTGCAGTGATTATTAGAATTATTCTGGTGCCTAGAAAATAAAGAATAACTATTCAAACAAATTATCATTGATGTATCTCTCATTACTCTCCTTTATAGGGAAATTTGGGAACCTTTTTTATTACCAATGTGAGAATTGTGTGGCATGCAAATATGAATGACAGTTTTAACGTCAGTATACCATATCTGCAAATTGTAAGTGCATGATGCATTTTGATTACCTCATTTTAATGCAGAATAATTAATTTTTGTTCAACAGTTAAGAGAACTTTGGGAATTAGATGAGTTATCTTTCTGCCTTTTTAAGTGGCAACAGTTTAGCTGAGAGCATACTTTTAAAATGTTGATAATTTACTATTTCAACATAGAAAAGACCCAGTTGTACTTATATTCAAGGGAAACAGCACCATTACAACTTGCTATTAAGAAAGAAATATACTGGATTCTAAAACTTAGTTTTCATACAGATTAAAATGTGTGTGTTTTTAGATTCCATTCAAAGGATTTTGGCTACTAAAGTTTTCTATAACCTTTCTCTGATGCAGGTATATTGGTTGTTCCTGGGCATGGGTCCAGCATACTAATCCATACACTTTATTTTGGCTTTCTTGCTACTTTTTGCTCAAACAAATAGGATATATTTTTTTAAAAATCCTCACCCAAGGATATATTTAGAGAAAGGAAGAGACAGAGAGAGGGAGAGAGAAAAACATCTATGTAGGAGAGAAACATCAATCAGTTACACTCCGACTGAGGATTAAACCTGCAGCCTTCTGGTGCACAGGGAAGGGCATGGGAATGCTCCCTGGAGGGAGAATGCTGTTCAAACCCTTTTAAAGACAATAAAATCATTCATTCTTTGAATGAACTGTTTACATCATATTCTGATACAGTTTTGGTGAAAGAAATCAATATGGTTTTTGATGATAATGGTTTTAGCTTAAGTTGAAGCTGTTAAAATCCAAAATAAGAACTAACTACATCTAAGACCAATTTGTTTTGGGAAAATATAAAAGTGGTTCTTTTTACGCTGCTGTTGATGCTACGAGAAACAAATAATAAACAATAAACTGGAGAATTTCATTTTACATACAATCTAGTGCAAATTAGATGGAACATAAAAATACTTAATGAAAATCCTATGAAGTTATTCTATGATAATTGCCTTTAATGTAGTATAAGAGTAGTATTAAGACTAAGCAGTTTCATTAATAAATATTTATGGATTAGATACAATGTATGTATATTTGGAAAATGTCATTTTTAAGAGACTTTTTGGCCTATGAGAAGGATGATTCTTTGGAAAATATTCCCAAGCCTATCTTTTGCTAAATTGTTTGATTTCTGAGTTACTTTAAAATATCTAATCATCCATTTGCCTGATATTGAGAAGCTGCTTTGTGCTAGATGCTAGAGATACAATCAGAAAAATCATGAACCAGAACTTCACAGTTCCTGCCATTAAGGAGCTTTCTGTTAGGTGGTGAAAAGCAACACGTTAAACAGAAAATCATAGATATTGATGGGAAGAAAATTATTTCTGGCCATTTAACAAAATACAAGAATTTATAATCATGGCTGGGAAGATGTGACATAGTCCACATAGGTATTTGATAAAATGGTGCTTCTGGTGTTCATTGCTGTTTTATCTTGTATTTACATGTGTTTTGAGTTGCCTAACCTAAATTCTATAATGCTGAATAATTGATGAATAGTAAATACTAGTAACCTGTGCTTTCTGCTCTTCAAATAGGATACTTCTTGTTCTTTAAGAGTACAGTTGCCAGTATGCCTTCCTGATGATTTCAGCCAGGCCCAAACAGCTTGCAAGCTGATATCATCACAGTCTGTCACTAAGGCAGTCATAATCTAACTTCAGCTCATTTAACACCTCAGCCATTGCCCTGACCCCATTCCTATATATATCCTTGCCAGTTTCCATCTTACTATATCTCTGTGGGAGTATAATGAAGGAAAAAATAATTATTTTATTTAGGCTATGAAAAATGGTTTATTGTATGAAAGTTGAAAAAATATGCTAAAAATTCACTACTATCAGATAATAAAAACAGCATTTTTTTTCTTTTTCATTTTACATCTAGCGTTCAATAAAGATTAGAGATTCAAAATTTGGGTTAGCTCTTGTCATAGAAAGCTCTCAGCAGGTAAGATACTTAATATTTTTATTAATCTTCAATAGATTTTTTAAACTATGTGAGTCTACTTTTAGTTTTATTTATACTGTAACCAGTTTACATCCAAGAAGAATCTTAGCTCTAACATGAAGTCATATGAAGAGTTTGAAGTCACGCAGTAATTGTCCCCATAGAAAGAATCCTGGTTACCGTATGTTTCTTTGTTGGACAAACATACTCATTACTATCATGATTATCATGTTTAATGACAGAGTCAAGTCACTGTATTTTTTGAGCATTATCTCAATCTTTACACAACTCTATGATACAGTTACTATTATTTTTTCATTTTACAGTCAAGGAAACTGGGGCCTAGAGAATTTAGGAACCTTGCCCATGTTCTCACTAGTAAATAGTAGGGGTAGGTTTCAATTCAGATCTGATTGATTCACAAGACTGTGTTTGAGAAACACAGATATATACAGATATACATACACATTTTATTCTCTTTATTCTCTCAATATTATATTGTATCTAATTATAAATTGCTGTGCCCCATTATACCAGATTTTTTAAGAAATAGATTTAAATAAAAATTTATTATTTGTAAAATCACTCCTCTTCTCATTTCTAAGTTTAAATATAAATGTCTACTTTCCCATGGCCTGTTGATTCAAAGCTGCCATTTACTGAGTGCTTATTGTGTTCTAGGAATGGTACAAAATGTCATTATACATTATTTTATTTTTTTTAATATATTTTATTGATCTTTTTATAGAGAGGAAGAGAGAGGGATAGAGAGTTAGAAACATCGATGAGAGAGAATCATCGATCAGCTGCCTCTTGCACACCCCCTACTGGGGATGTGCCCACATGCCCTTGACCGGAATTGAACCTGGGACCTTTCAGTCCGTAGGCTGACGCTCTATCCACTGAGCCAAACCGGTTTCGTCTAAATTATTTTATTTAATACAACTTGTTAACCATTTTATGGTTAAAAAATTGAAGCTTAAAAAGAATAAAAGTTTCCCAGCATCATATAGTTAGTAAATTTTTTAATGATATTTTTTATTGACTTCAGAGAGGGAGAGAGAGATAGAAACATCAACTATGAGAGAGAATCATTGATTGGCTGCCTCCTGGATGCCCCACACTGGAGATTGAGCCCATGACCCGGCATGTGTCCTGACCAGGAATCAAACTGTGATCTCTTGGTTCATAGGTTGACATTCAACCACTGAGCCATGCTGGCCAGGCCAGCTACTAAATTTTTCATTTTTCAAGGTGATAGCCTCAGGTAGATCATTCCCTTACCTCTTTTCAAGGTCTTCACAATAAAAACTTATTCCCTTTGCCATCACAATCTACAGTATATCTTTAAACTTGAAATATCAGGTTTGATATTTACAGATTAAATGATGTGATATATGGATAGGCTTTAAAATAATCCTGAGTGTGTGAAGGGAGGAAATCTGGGGAAGGGTGTGGTTACAGATGGAAGAGTAAACTGGATGTAAACTGGATGATTGCTTCTAGGATGCTTACTGTACTCTTTCTATTTTTGTTTATGTTTGAAGTTTTTAATAATAAAATTTTTATTTTAAAAAATCAGCTTACATATTATGCTCTGAAATAAGAACAATTAGAGCTAAAATTCATATGCATAGCCTTCAATACCATTTCTCTGGCTTGTTTCTTGTTTTTTCATTGTTTTTCCTTGCAGAGTGGAGGATATGTTCTTGGCTTTAAAATAGATCCTATGGAAAAACTACAGGCATCAGTTAAGGAAATCAATTCACTTCACAAAGTCTATTCTGCCAGTCCTGTATTTGGAGTAGATTATGAGATGGAAGAAAAGGTAATTTGCTCACTGTGCGAAGTACAGTGTTTGCTGAATTGTTTTCACACAATCTATAAAATTCTGATATAAGTACATTATGTACAATTTAATTTTAAACTATGTTTAAAAGGACAATTAGACAGACTCTGCTCTTTGCTCACCACCTGTCTTCTCACGGGCTGCTTCATCATTAATTCCTGCCCTTCTCGGTGAGCAGCCTATCCAGAGAAGTCTCCCCATATACAAGGCTCCTTGATGTAGGCAGACTAGAACCTCTCACTCTGTAAGCTTTGTTTTTATTCTACTTCAGCCTCCCTTTCGCACAGGCAAACCTTCAGACACCATTTTCTTCCTTCAAGTTCCTACAGCATAGCAACTGCAGGAGTTTGCTCCACCAATGTGGCCTGTGTCCATCCCTATTCCTCAGTTCCTGTGCAAGACCAGTTATGAAATATTTTCAATATTATCCCCCCATGCTTGCTCTTTATCTCCCTATGATATCTGGTTTCTCACGGTTTGACTCTCGAGGTACATCAATTCTCTTTTGGCTTTACTTTCAGCTAGGACCCTTGTCATCTGATTTATCACTGTGTACCCACCAGCCACTGCATTAGAGACAGGGCCCTCTCTGTGTATTCTATCAGTACCCTCGCCAAAGGCTCCTCACTGGTACCCTCACCGACCACTCCATCACAGGTCCCCTTGCTCTGTTTTATTGGCCCTCACTGTATACTCTATTGTTGGAGTCCTTGTTATTCACTCTTTCATCAGTGTCCCTAACGGTACTCAGCACGTTGAGCCATATCACATACCACATATATTATCTATATTAATTTCTCATTTAAAATTTTATTTTAGTAATTTAATTAAGTAAATAATTTTCAAAGTCAGTAAAATACACTAGACTTGGTTGAGTATCTCAAATTTGGCATACTTAAAATGGCAGCATTTTTCTCAAAAGCAGCATCCTGCTGATTTATCTATTTATTTACCATTTATCTTTAGCATTGTCAAATTAGGCTGTACTCAAAACCACGGAGTTCCCCCCTTTATTTGTTTGTTTGTTTGTTTGTTTGTTTGTTTGTTTTAGAGAGAGAAATGTTGAGTTGTTCCACTCATTTATACATTCACTGGTTCAATTCTTATCTGTGCTCTGACTGGGGATCAAACTCACAACGATGGCATATCGGGACAACATTCTAACCAACTAAGCTACTCAGCCAGGGCTTTTTCCCATTATCTTACTTTACACATTCAGTCAATTATACCAGTCTCTTCCCTGTTCCTATCTCCTCCTTTCCATACAAACCCAACTTTAATCCTAACTTCACTATTTTTTATCCTAGGCAAATCTGAGTTTCAGTTTTCTTATTATAAAATGAAGATAATGCCCTTGCCAGTTTGGCTCAGAGGGAAGAACATTGGCTTGTGGACTGAAGGGTCCTGGATTCTATCCCAGTCAAGGGCACATACCTCATTTGCAAGCTCAATCCCGGGTCCCAGGTGGGACACATGGCAGGAGGCAACAGTCAATGTGTCTCTCTCACATCAGTGTTTCTCTCTCTCTGTCTCTTCCTCTCCTTTCCACTCTCTCTAAAAAAAATTAATGGAAAATAAATTAATTAATCCTTGAGTGAAGATTAACAAAAAGCAAACAAATATATTTTTTATTGATGTTTTACAGAGAGGAAGAAAGAGGGATAGAGAGTTAGAAACATCAGTGAGAGAGAAACATCGATCAGCTACCTCTTACACAACCCCTACTGGAGAAATGCCCGCAACCAAGGTACAGGCCCTTGACCGGAATCGAACCCAGGACCTTTCAGTCCGCAGGCCTATCCACTGAGCCAAATCGGTTTCGGCAAACAAATAAATTTTTAATTAAAAAATAAAATGAAGATAATATCTCTTTAAAAGTTATTGATGCCTAAACAGCAAAAGAAGACATTGATAGCCCGGCAGGCCTGGCTCAGTGGCTGAATATCTATCGACTTGTGAACCAGGTCACAGTTCAACTCAGTCCCTGTATGGGGCCAGCATGAGGCAGCAGATCAGTGATTCTCTCACCATTAATGTTTCTCTCTCGCTCTCCCTTCCTCACTGAAATCAATAAAAATATATGTACTTTTTTAAATTATTGATAAAAATGCTATTGATTATATCTATAAAATGCTTGGTACCTGTGAGATACTTGGCTTGTTAGTTCTACCCATTACTTCTCTCTTCCCCCTTCTTTGGCCCCAGTACATATAATAGCTCACTCTGTTACATCATACAAATCCCTCCTCCAGCTACCTCTCCAGGGAGGTCTTCCCTGACTATTTATCTAAAATGGCAACTCCACCCTAACCGGTTTGACTCAGTGGATCAGAGGTCTCAGATTTTATTCCAGTTAAGGGCATATACCTTGGTTGCAGACTCCTCCCTGGTCTGGGCCTTGATCAGGACTGGTACAGGGGGCAACCAATTGATGTGTTTCTCGAACATCAATGTTGCTCTGTCTTTCCCTCTTTCTTCCACTCTCCCTAAATATCAATGGGAAAAATATCCTTGGGTGAGGGTTAACATTAAATAAGTAAACAAATAAGCAAACAAACAAATAAATAAATAAAATGGCAACTCTCATCACTTTTTTGTCCCTCATTCTGCTTACTTGCTTTATTTTTGGTAACACTAATCAGTCTCTTCTGCTATAAATAAACTCCATGAAGTCAAGATTTTGATCTGTTTTCTTTAACCATTATATCTCTAGCAGTCTCAACTGGTACATAACAGATTCTTAGTGAATATTCATAGTTGTTGAACACATGTTTGCCATTCACTGCTCTAAGAACTTTATATGCATCATCTCATTTAATCCTTTCAACAATACTATGACGTATATTATTATCTTCATCCACAGTTAAGGAAACCTTAGATAGGTTAAATTTCTTTTTTTTATTATTATATTTTATTGATTTTGTACAGAGAGGAAGGGAGAGAGATAGTTAGAAACATCGATGAGAGAGAGTCATCGATCAGCTGCCTCTTGCACACCTCCTACTGGGGATGTGCCCGCAACCAAGGTACATGCCCTTGACCGGAATCGAACCCGGGATCCTTCAGTCCCCAAGCCGACGCTCTATCCACTGAGCCAAACCGGTCTTGGCTAGGTTAAATTTCTTGTAACAGTCACACAGCTCTGAACATACTTGAAACACTAAGGCTAACCTCAGAATATGAAATCAGTTCACTCTCTTGTCAAGCAATACCCTTCTACCCTCTGCACCATCTCCCCCAAATTACCTATCAATAAAGTCCGCATTTTTTGAGCTGATATTAAAGAATTTGAGTAGACTTAAGTCTGCCTTTCTCACCTTATCTGCACAGCCACAGCGTCTGGTTGTACATGTACACTGTTCAACTCTAGAGAACATTGTTCACATGAACTTTAGTGTGAATGATGCTCCCTAGTGTTGTTCAATACTAGAGCCCTACTTAGTTCCTTCTGTCTCATGGAACTCTTATATTCTGATCATATGGGTTATTCATTATTCTCCAGCCACATCCTGTGATTTTTCACCTTTGCTGATGCTGATCCCCTCTGCCAGAAATACCTTTTCCCCTAATCCTCCCTAAGAATATCATCCTCATCCTAAAAGCCCTAGATCAAGACCTTTATGTCATGAAAATTTCTAGGATTCACAATTCAGAAGTTGTGCTTTCTCCAAACTTTTTGATTATAATAGATGTTGCTTTTGTTACAGCTACTTTCGTATGTTAAACCAATGATATTAGTAACATTTTACCATTTTCAGCTAATAAAAATGGCAATTTCAGAAGGTTCAACCTAATACTTAGTTACTTGTAATTATGTTTTATCCTTTACCCCACCTCCCACTAGATTACAGTCCTTTCTTGGTTAAGGTCAGGGACTTTAAACCCTTGGTAGCACTAATATAGTACCTAATATACCAAGGATACTCAAGTATTTGAAAAACAAGTTCATGAGTATTAAATTAAGTTTTAACTTTTAGAATACTCCCTACAAAACTTAGTTATTTTACTTTTCACAGGTTCTACTTAAATGATTATTTGGGGGGAAACTTTGTTTTGTTTAACTGTATGAAAGAAAATCAGATGAAGTTCAATAAGAGTTTTTTCTTTTAGTATATCTTTATTATTTTATAATTCTATCTATTATATCGATATAAGATTTTTTTTTAGAATATCATATTGAGGATGTGTAAATTTGTTGTCATTTTAATTCTTTTGATTATATCAATTTCAGATTTAAAAGCTTAGGTTTAACTGACTTATTTTATTACCCAAGTTAGTTTTAATAGAGTATGTTATACAATGAATTTTATAAGACTTGAATAGTTTACAATTGTGTTATCCTTTTACAAATTTATAATTCTCAGAAAATTTTCCTAAAATTATTTAATTAACATTGTCTCTTTAATGCATTTTAACATCTGATTCTCAGCCACAGCCTCTCGAAGCTCTGACAGTTGAACAAATTCAAGACGATGTAGAAATAGACTCTGATGATCATCCAGACGCTTCTGTGGTGAGCATCACAAAGGAGGTTACTCAATTTCTTGTGATTCTGAGTCACGTTTTATTAAATTATAGATTAAGTATGTAAATGCCATTTTACTTGAGACTTTTGAGAGTATTTTAAACATGAGTTGGAGTATAATTTTTTTTTAAGTTATGGATTGTGTGTGTGTGTGTGTGTGTGTGTGTGTGTGAGTGTGTGAAAATATTTTTTTAATTACCAAACTGGGAAATAGTTTGAGAACACAGTTATTCAGATTTCAGAATTGTGAAAAGTTTTCCATATTAATAGAAAATGCTAAATATAGTTAATTAAATTAATTTAATATCTGTACTTTCTAATTATAGGTATTACCTTCAATTTTTAGGTATTTTTTCTTAAAATGAATATCCATTTTAACAATAAACTTTACTGTTTCTAAATTTGTATTATGTAATTAATAGTCAAAATAATAATAATGCTTACTTTATATTATGGTCTAAAAATATGACCAGAATACCTCTCTGAGAACATATATTTCTAAACAAAAATGTGAAATTAGGATAAAATACTTAATTATAAACTTCTACTATTATCTTAAACTCTATGAATTTGCTGATTGATTGCTTTGTTTTGTTTTGCCAGCATCTTCTTGTAAACAAAAAGTAGGGATGATATTTCATTACCCTCTAAGTCATACTTTTTATCTTATAACAATGCTAATTATACATGAATAACAAAGCACAATTTTTAGAGCTTAAAGCACAACTCTTGATTATAATAATAATTACAGACAGAAAAAGCAAATTCTGCTACCAGCATTGTAAGATAATTAAGAAAATTATTAGATACATAGTAACAGAATATAAAATATATTGTCACAGAATTGTTCTGTAAATTAATTACCTGTTCCTTAGCTTACTGACCTATTATAATATTATGTCACATAATTTTCTTTATGTTATAGGCTTATTTTGCTGATGGCAATAAGGTAAGGATATTTTACCTATAGCATATAAAAAAAAATACTTTCTATTTTCCAACATTTAGTATTCACAAACTTATGTGAAACCTATTTTTTGTTTTTTTCCTCTTCCATGCCTACCTTCTCTATTCCCATCTCATCCTCTTATCTCCCCAAAAGCAACAAGATCGTGAACCTGTATTTTCAGAAGAACTGGGGCTTGCAATAGAGAAATTGAAGGATGGATTCACCCTACAGGGACTTTGGGAAGTAATGAGTTGATCTTGAGTTGAGCTGGATTTTTATTTAAAGATATCTCAAGATTAAAGTTACTAGTTGTCTTCTATAAGACATGGAATAGTTTTTACATTTACAAAAAAAGTTTTTAAGAAAGAGTTTTTTAACGATTGAAGAAAATTTCATTTATGCTTTAACATCAGTTTTAAAAAAAATTATATTTGAAGCTATAATCAAAATGTATCCGGTTTGTAAATATGTCTATTTTGTTCCTAATACTTGTAAACTAATGGTCTGTGGATATTAAATGAATGTATCACATTGGGTTTAATAAAAAATTTTATGCACTTAATGTTTTGAAAGTATTGTTTAAAAGAATAAGACTATTCTTATGAAGCAATCAAATTACAACTGTTAACTATAAAAATCTGCTTTAAATGTATGATTTAAATATAATGTAAGCCAACTCTAATATAAATTACAATCCTTAAACTTGTCATTTTTAAGTTATTTCTATAAAAATTATAGCTAACACTGGAATATATCAACCCCCATGTAAAGTTTTGAGCAGTTTTATAAATTCAATATAGTTTTGGCAAGAATACATTTTATTTTGTAAGTAATTTTAAATAATTTATAAATAAATAGTTCATTTATCGACTTCATCTTTGTTTGTATTAATTGAAATTTCTTTGAAGTTTTCAAAAATCAGTTTTCTGGTTTCTTGGTTGGGTAAAATGTGGTGACATCTCTGGCCTCAGTGCTTTTGGCCACTGCTTTGTATAAAGAAGCGTCATAAGGAACCTTTGTCAAATCATTGAAATTAGCCAAAGAAACCCTCTTTCTCTAGAGGGAACAGAATAAGCATGGAAAAACATTTAAGATAAGGTTCAACCAACAGCTGACTTGCGTCTAATAAAAACAATGAATAAAACCTATCAAATACTTTATTTAAATAGGAAAGGATTCCTACATTTTATGGGGTGGGGTTATATGATAACCTATATTAAGGGGAAAAAATGGTTGTTGAAAAAATTTATAAGGTCACAAATGCTACCAGGAATATTGTTTAAATAGTTTTTCAAGCAAAAGTGACTATAAACCTATCAGCTAGTAAGGAATACTCAAATATCATATCATCGTGTTTGTATCTGACTCAATCTTTTCAAATGTTAGGTGGTACGTGTAGAGAGAAATGAGTCATTTATTGTTTAAACAAGGGAGCAGCTGTTAGTTTTTCCTAGTGTGTTAAAACCTTAGTGGCATCTATAAATGGAAAAAGAGTCAATGAGCTCTTCTTTCAGCTGTTGTTTTGGCAGCTGACAGTACCACTGACTTCACTATGATGTAAATAAGAGGAAAAACCTTTACTCATGGATAGAGATCTTGAAGTTTAAAAATACGTAATTCTCTTATCTGAAGGCATTCTTTCATTCAATAAATATTTTTGGAGCACCACAAGGCCCTGGAGCAATAGCACTGAACAAAATAACACACAGACCCCCTCCAAAAACAAAAAACAATTCCGTCTTCATGGAGATTATGTTCTTTTGAGCATGTTTAAGAATACCAGCAAGTGGTACATATATTCAATGGAATATGAAAAAAAAAAATCTGCAACAGGGTGTATTGTGCTAGTGAAATAAGTCAGACAGAGAAAGTCAAATGTCAGATTATTTCACTTAAATCTAAAAAAACTAAATAAGCAGAACAGAAACAGACTCATAGATAGAAACATTTTGATGATTGGCAGATGGGAGAGGAATTGGGAGGATGAGTGAAAAGGGTGAAAGGATTAGGAAATACAAATTGGTAGTTACAGAATAGTCATGGGGATGTCAAGTACAGCATAGGGAATATAGTCAATAATGTAATAATTATAGAGTCAGGTACTAGATTTATCGGAGTGATCACTTTGTAAGTTATATAAATGTCTAATCACAGGGTTGTACACCTGATATTAATATATTCCACATCAATTATAATTGCAAAATGAAACATTTAAAGAGAAAAAAAATGCTAATCATTGATATTACAGTATTTCTACAACCCCACTGAGTTCAGAAAATGTGACAATATAATTTTGTAGAGCATATACGATGCTCTCTGTTTATAAGAAAAGATCAATTTTCTTTCAAGTCATGCTTTCTGCATTCCATAATTAATATGGTGTTCTATTATAATAAGCTAAAATTGCTGAGACCAGTTTGGCTCAGTGGATAGAGCGTCAGCCTGTGGACTGAAGGGTCCCGGGTTTGATTCCGGTCAAGGGCATGTACCTTGGTTGTGGGCACATCCCCAGTAGGGGGGGTGCAGGAGACAGCTAATCGATGTCTCTCTCTCATTGATGTTTCTAGCTCTCTATCCCTCTCTCTTCCTCTTTGTAAGAAATCAATAAAATATATATTTTTAAAAATAATAAGCTTAAATTATGGTTCCACTTCTACATTCTTTTTTTTCTTTTCCATTAGACCTGTTTTCCAAATTATACGGGTGATATAGCACTTCATCCTGATTTGGTTCTGTTCTGTTGACAACATTGTTCTCATGTGGTTACAGCTGTTCTTTTTTCTTTAATGAAAGATCACCTTAAACACTTTACATCATAGAATATCTTTAGTGATCAAATTTTTTGTGTGTGCGTTTATTTCCCCAGTGTTAACTTTAAACTATTTCTTTTTCTTTTTGGTCTTGATGATAGCTTTTATTTTACTTGTTTTATTGCTATTGTTTGCCACACCAAATACTATGTAGAGTGAGGCAGGGTGTGAATAAAATACTTTTATAACAATTCAATACCAATTATATTTTTTCCATTTAACAAAGATAATTTAGAATATCTTAGAAAATTTGCAGTTTCTCTTATTTCATTTATGATGAGGATATTACTTTCAATGTTTTTCTAAAACAACTATAGTCATAGGACACAAGTAGAAGTCTGTAAGTGTCCTGTTTCTAAAAGAAAAGTATATACCACATTGTTTTAAGTTGAAAATAAAACTTTGGTAACAATTATTGGAAAGGGGATCTTGCTTGAGTATTGAAATGAACTCACCTCATATTCGTGGCCTTTGCATGATTAATTCAGATAACCAAGTAGCTTGCCACCAGCCCATTTTTAGTGCACTGACTCATTTTTTATGATTCAGTTTTCTGTTAATTCAATAAACATTTTCTTGTGGTAGCCTTTATTAGCACACCTTCTAATGCTTTGTGTATTTTAGAGCTTTCCACGCCATTTAAATCTCCTGTTTCTGAGCAGTTTCCTTCGTAATAAAAAGGTTTCAGTTGTTCCTTTCCATCTCTAACAGCTGCAAGAACCACTCTTCTTTCCAAACCAGCTCCCCTGAAATTCCCGTCGTTGGAGTTGGTATCTATATTTAGCCGGTGGGATTAAATTGCAAAGGCTCCAGGCTGGGCAAAGCACACTGCTCTGCCTTTTTACAGCTAGACCTGTGCGCTGCGCGGAGCTAAGGCCTTCAGTGTCCCCTTCCTCACCCAGGTCACTCACACCATGGAGTCCCAGCGGGAACTCGCAGAGGAACTGCGGCTTTACCAGTCCACCCTTCTTCAGGATGGTCTGAGAGATCTCCTGGATGAGAAAAAGTTCATCGACTGCACCCTGAAAGCGGGCGACAAAAGTATTCCGTGCCACAGATTGATTTTGTCAGCGTGTAGTCCTTACTTCCGTGAGTATTTTTTATCTGACATCGAGGAGGCGAAAAAAAAGGAGGTGGTGCTAGACAATGTGGATTCTGCCATCCTGGATCTCATCATCAAGTACCTCTACTCCGCCAGCATCGATCTCAACGATGGAAACGTGCAAGATATTTTCGCACTGGCCAGCCGCTTCCAGATCCCCTCAGTGTTCACTGTCTGTGTCTCTTACCTTCAGAAAAGACTGGCTCCTGGGAACTGTCTAGCCATCCTAAGACTAGGACTTCTCCTTGACTGCCCAAGACTTGCCATCTCTGCCCGGGAGTTTGTGTCTGATCGCTTTCTGCAGATTTGTAAGGAAGAGGACTTCATGCAGCTGTCTCCACAGGAACTGATCTCAGTCATTTCAAATGACGCCCTCAATGTAGAAAAGGAAGAAGCGGTGTTTGAGGCAGTGATGAAATGGGTGCGAACAGACAAAGAGAGAGTTAAAAGCCTTAACGAAGTGTTTGATTGCATCCGTTTTCGCCTTATGACGGAAAAATATTTCAAAGATCACGTTGAGAAAGATGATATTATTAAAAGCAACCCAGAACTCCAGAAAAAAATCAAAGTTCTCAAAGATGCTTTCGCAGGCAAACTTCCAGAACCTAGCAAAAACGCAGAGAAGGCTGGGGATGGTGAGGTGAACGGAGATGTCGGCGATGAAGATTTACTTCCTGGCTACCTGAATGACATTCCCAGGCATGGGATGTTTGTCAAAGACCTCATCCTCTTGGTTAATGACACCGCCGCAGTGGCTTATGACCCCACAGAAAATGAATGCTACCTTACGGCCTTGGCTGAACAGATTCCCAGAAATCATTCCAGCATCGTTACCCAACAAAATCAGGTATATGTGGTAGGAGGACTATATGTGGATGAAGAAAATAAGGATCAACCTCTACAGTCATACTTTTTCCAGGTAAGAAAGGCAGTTTTTATACAAGTAGAGATATAAAGGAAAGGTTGTCACTCATCACTTAGCTGATGTGCAAATTATTCAGGCTGCTTGTGTTTTATTCTACTTGATGTCCTATTCCAGTCCAAAAAAAAAGCTATAATTGAACAGATTTTCTAACTTCTTCCAAGTTTTCTGAAACTAATTTGTCATCTCTTATTTATAGTTACTGCCTATAATACAATTTTGTTGAAAATGAAAAGAACCTGGTATATATCTCGCACTTTGAATTACCTTCTACGAAAAACTGCACAATGTCACTAATTTGAATTGATTCGTAATATTAGGAATTTACAATAATTTTTTTTATTATGACAAATGGTCACATTTATTTGGATCACAGTTGTACTTAGACATTATTACAACTTAATCTATTTTGTAAAACCAC